ACCACCCTGCTATGCCCAATCACACCTCTCACAGCTAATTTGGACCCGATCACGCATCACACTGTTAAATTGGGACCAATCACACGTCACAGAAAACCCATTTACCACCCTTGTGAGACAAATGGTTCATCTAGGCATGCGAACCAGTTGTTGCATTTTTTTTTGTGTTAATTTTTTATTAACGAATTTCCCAAGTTTACATAAAAGTTGGGAAAAAATTAAAAACTGGCCATAAGTTGATGTATTTAAAGACTTTGAAATACCAGAGACAGGATAACTATATAATTATGTCATTCAAGAGAAAGAGGAAGTGTACACAAAATCAGGGCAAAGTTCATACCACTCGACCAATCAGCTTATATACAGAGGAGGAAGGTCTTGTCTTGACCAGGGTATAAGAGCATGAGGCTGTCCAAACAAGGATCTAAATTTCTTGTAAGGAAAAAAAAAGTATGTACTTTGTTTGTTGTCATAGAAAGAGTTTGGTACCCTTTTGTCCTTTACAGGGCCAGGTTTAAAACCTTTAACAGCATACCCCAAAGTTGGGCCAAATAATAATAACTTATTCTTCTCCACAAAAGTGTTGATACTGTGTAGGTTCAAAAGATGGTTTCAGAGAAAATGCTCACATTAAAGGTTCTTCATACCTTTAACCCTTAAAAAATAATACTTGGCATTCATTGATTTTCAAAGAACCCACTGTATGAACAAGATATTTTTTATCACACTCAAAAAATGAAAACATTGGAGTGAATAATCAGACAATGATTGTTAAGCAAGACTTCCCATCAAAGTGGGATATATATAACACTATCCACTTGATTAAATCTCCATCCAGTGGATGACACAATCAGTGAGTTTCCCTAATACTTATCTGCTGGATAGTGATTTATCTGTTGGATAGTGCTATCTTTGAACAGCCGGTGCCAGGTGATGAAAAGTTTTAGTGATCTGCACTCACTGCTAGTTCATATTAATAAATAAATAAAAAAACAGGAATAATATAGTAAAATACAACATACTTTTAAAAAAATATATAGTTTGGAAGTCCTTTGACTCTTTAATTAATTTGTGACATCAAGTACAAACATTGCCTTTAAAACAATAATTTTAAAAAAAATACCAGAGTTTCAGTATGAAATACAAATTAGGCCTCAAAAATGAATTAACTCAAGAATATGTGGTTCAAACTTTGTGCCAATGTGCTTGGAACCGGTGAATTTTACATGTCCAGTCTTGATTAGATGAGCAAAGCTCGAACAACTTGAACCAAACATAAAACCCCCGCCACTGCCAACTGGGACACCACCCAGGCTATTGAAAGCATTTGGGCCACTCTGCACGCAGCGACACTGTCTAAAATCAGCACCAGAGATGTCCGCATCTGTGAAATCTACCACCACGTGGCTGGCAAACTCGCAGCCATAGAAACTAGTGTTTATCAAAGAAGCATCCACAAAAGAAACATTGTGAGCAAAAGTAGTGTGGGCAAAGGAGAGCCCAGAGAGATTTTTGCCACTGAAATCCAGATTGGTTTTGGTCATGTTGTGAAAGACGAAATCTGCAGAACTATGCCTCATGCCCATTCCCAAATCTAACCCCGGAGGGGTGTGAGTCTGGCTTGTCTGACGAGTCAGGGTAGCAAGCATGTCATCGATCTCGCTCTGGGTGAAGTCAGGCGCTGGTGGAGGGGGGTCCAATATACTCTCAATGCCAGCTACCAGGTCAGTCAGTTGGAAATAATGCGCTTCATTGGCTATTTGTCTGAGAGACAGTTCATCTTGCGGAAGCATTTCAGCTCGAAATCCGTCGCGCAGATAGTTCAAAATATGGCGAAAATGGGTGCCGTCCCTGTCCACGAAGTAACTACCATCGGGTTCTTGGGTGAGTTTGTGCCTTCCAGAAAACATTGTCGCCAACATGGAGTCGATATCACGCCTCAAAGTTTGAAGAGAGGTTGTGAATCTATGGCCTCCAATGTTGAGGTGAATGGGCGAGGACTGAAACTCTTGAACTTCTTGCATTCGTTTCTTCTCGTTTTCTATCCTTAGCCTCGTTTCGTCGAGTTCCCTGTACTGTTCTTTAATAAATGTTTCATGTTCTTGCCGTTTCTTCCTCATTTCTTCTTCAATCGTTTTGCGATCCTTTTCCAGTGTGTCGCTGAATTGCGTGAGCTCTTTCTCGCGTCGTTCAAAACATTCCAATAGATCGCTTATTTTGCCGTTGATTTCCATCTTCCATGTATCATTGTCAGACATTTTTTTTAATTATGTGCGTCCTTTTCCAGACAATTCACAAAAATAGCATTCGTTGGAGTGTGAATAAAGTGTAGCGAAGAAGGGCCAAGTTTTTTAGAAAACAACAAAGGAAATGCTGCCGCAGTCTGCTGTTCCGCGGGCTCAAACCAAGATAAAAAAAAAAAAAAAAAAAAAAACGGCCGGGGATTTCTGCCATTTTTTGCGAGCCTCGAGCCTCTTTTTGCGAGCCACTGTTTTTTTTTTTTCTTTGCAAAATCTTTCTATATACGAAATTTTGTTTCAACAATTGGCTTCTTTAATATAAAGCATTCGTGTAGACTTGCTACAAGTTTGTCATAAGTTCTCGCACACATGCCAACTCTCCTGGATAGACTACTACACCAACCTCCAGGTCTCCCGTACGGGTCACCGTATCTCCCGGATTAATTCATCTTTCGAGCTTTTCTGTGCCTTAGTTTGAGATGTAACCCATTTTCAGCTCAAAACTTGAATGTTTGGTATTCGTAGTACGGTTTCTGGGGCATTTTTTACCTATTTAGTCATTGACAAAGATTATTTTTTTAAAACGATGATCGCGAATTCCGGGACGAAATTTTCCAGTCCTCAACTTGGCGAACCATTTAACCAAGCCGTGAACCGACCGGTTTGCCCATGTAAATAATTTCCCGACAAAGAAAAAACCCTAATGTGGAGAGGGCATTGTTCGATTTGCCAGTTCTCATACATTATCTCTTACCAAGAGCCATAATACAGGGGCACCCAACGAGGATATATTTCAAAACCACTTAACATAGCATTGTTGAACGTATTTTAGTATTCAAACGGTAGGTATAAGCATATTTTTATCCCCTAAAAACTTTTCATCTGTTCGGATTTCCTAGCTGAAAGTCTAGTGATCCGAAAGTTATAGGGATAAAAACTTACCTTCTCGAAAATTTCAGCCAGGAAAAGGCTCCCGAAAATTCTAGGTAGCCTTTTTTAGGGTCAAAATCCGTTAAAAATGGGTAATTATTTCGTTTTGTAGATGTTCAAAAATCCTAGGAGAGGCAGGCAAGCAAGAAATTTTACAACAAATGCTCCGAAAATTCTAGGTCTCAAATCGTCTTCCGAACAGATATTTTCCCGAAAATTGCCGTTGGGTGCCCCTGATAATAGGGCCATTTATACGAGGAAAAATAAGACGCGTCTTACATAAGACGCGTCTTAAATAAGACGCGAACTTTCCGTATAAACGGCACATGAAAACGAGTCAAGAACAGAAATAAGACGCGAACCATTTATACGAGCTGTTCTCGTCTTAGATAAGACAGGCTCGTATAAATGGTAAATGGTACAGTTCGCGTCTTATTTAAGACGCGTCTACATAAGACGCGTCTTATTTTTCCTCGTATAAATGGCCCTAATGGGAGGCTCTTGTTCTTACGTAGTCCCGCTTTTCGTTTTGCCTTACCCGCCGGAATGTTTTTAAACAAAGTGAAATGAAAATACACCCTGATCTCAGGTTAACTGTGTTGCAGGATGACGGTGGTATACGCCCGGCTTTTCTGCACTCTGTCTCTTTCCATGACTTTCATGAGCTGATAGACATCGAGAACGTCAGCCAATAAAAATGTAATTCACGAAATAGAATTTTACAAGAACATTTTTTGCGGAGCTGAATGAAGCAAAGTGATGCATTTCCAGTTTGATCAGGAGCCACACCCACATTGAACTCCTTGTGGGGTTATTTTAATTTTCCGACGAGCACCCCCTGCCACTTTTATATTGGGGTCGCCCACTGGGAATGAAACACAATTGGATTGAGGGCATTCCGGGGGGTACTCCCTTACAAAAGTCATATAGGTATGTGCAGCTCCAAAAGGTATGGTTTTGGGGCCGTTTCGGTCTGAAAACGGGAAAAACTTCGTCCATTTTGGTCTAGACTGTGAACAGGCTCTCTGTACAGCCTGTACGTTCACAGGCTAATCACTTCGGCGGAGCGCAAAGTAAAGGACTCGCGACGCGAAGGAATGTATCAAAGTTGACATTTTTCGAACAAGATTGGACACGCACAGTCTGTCGGTTTTCGGTTTTATTTAGCCTCCCTGCGTGGCAGGCTAGGTTTTATTCGGCTATTTGACGAAGTGAAAGTCGAGATAGTTAGAGACATCTAAAAGTTCGAGATATCTCGAGATCACTTCGATTTCTTTGATTTATTCTTTGACATATTCGCGGAAGAAAGAATCATTATTTTGGCTTTCCCGGGGTTTGAACCGGCTCACCTGTGTCACCCGTCAGATCAGGGGAGACTCTAAGTTGAGGGATTAGCCGATTGCGCTACTGCGATCCACGGCAGTTCGGCGTATGAAAAATAGCTATGAAATTATGCACTAGCTTCGGGAAAAGTTTATTTTCTCAATAGTCTTTATTTTCTAAATCATTGAATATTACAAAAAGTGCACTGGCCCGCAGGTGACTAGAGCTAATCTTCTGTGGCGGGCCAGTCAATTTACGTGTAGGAAATGTTTATTTTTTAAACTTAACCGGTTGGAAAAGGACATTTTTTGTCTCAAATAGGGTCAGGATTTCAGAACTGGGCGGCACACCCCCCCAAGAATTCCAAGGAGTACTCTCCAACGGTAGACATGTTGAAGTAAGAATCATTCCTTTTCTTCTGACGCGTATACGCGAAGCTATGTTTTCATGGTTTCCACTGGCCTTTTGTCCAAGTAAATCGTAAGAAGCCTTCCTATATTTAAAAGCTCACATCTTTGAGCGAGTAAGCCAGAAAAATTCCTGAAAATTGAAAAAAGACAAGAAAATACATTAATTAATTCTCTAATCTCAAGTTACATTCACAGCAAAGTGGATCAGTTTATGCGCCAGTGCAGAAATTGGTATAATCTAGTATAATGTGAACAGCCACGACACAAGATTGCCCAAAACTGATACAGGACAAAGTACATCCCTTTCACGAGCGTCTCGTCCCGGGCGGCACACCGGCATAAAAAACTGACTGGCCAGACCATTTCCGTCGTCATGACTATTTCACTTTTAATCAAAACTGTCCAGCCACATTAGTCAAATACTACATAGTATGCACGAAGAAGATCAACCTCGTTCCCAGGGACGGGTAGCAGAGAACCCTGGGAACGAGGCTGGAGGGAGATGGCTTCTCCGCAAAAACCCTTGGAAAAAGCCTTAAAATGCTTTGTCAAAATGATTGTTCTGACCATGGTCCGGCTGGCCAGTTCTGACTTTTGGAAAGCGCCCTTAACATGGATAGCGCCGGTGGGAAGCTGCTAGGCCTCGTACTATCACAGGAAAATACTTGCAACTTCACGCCCAAAGAAACACACGACTCATGAAAATCCTACCAAGTCCGTTTGATTTGTGGATGATTTCGGTTCATAAAAGGAATCTAAAGAGGAGTTTTGGGAAAAAAACGTGTTTTTGAATCAAGAATTTGCTATTGGATTTTGTAAAGATAAAAAAGGATACATTCTAGGCTGATAAAACCAACTAGCCCGAGTATCAAGAGAGAGGTGAGAAGAGGAGAGAGCCTACCTACCCCCCCCCCCCTCCCCACACCCCTCCGCACTATCTAGTCCCCTCTGCCTTAACCCCTATAGCCTGCGAGTAAGCTCTCCATTTGGGGGATATCGTAAAAAGCACACGCGCGAGTGGCACGCGAGGAGAGACGCGACAAAGGGGAACGGGGGAGAGATAGCCTCTCGCGGCTTCGTTGTTCGCTCGCGCGTATCGCACTCGCGTGGTTCGCTTCGCTCGCCCAAATGGAGAGCTTGCTCGCAGACTATAACCCCTAAGGAAGCCCTGATGTTCAAGCTAAAAACCAAATTTATATGTTCCCCTACGTCACTCCCCCCCTTCCCGCCCTGCCCCACCCGCCTATGACACCTCTCCTGTGCAGTTAGCGCTCATGTACCTGGGGTTTCTTATCAGCATAGGGGCTGATCATGACATTAATCAACACTGGCTTCTTGACTTTCTTTGTCTCCTCAAAGGCAAATGTTAGCGCTGTATTGAGTTCTTCTGGTGTTTCTGCAAAGTAACCTTTTCCTCCAAATGCCTCAATGATTCGCTCATAATGAGTATTTGGTCTCAGGGCAGTGGGTGGAGCCCTACAGAATATAAAGCAAAGAAAAACGTGTGAAGTTTTACGGTCCAGCGTTGAAAGGTATTTAATAGACCTTTTAGCGCTGGACCGTTTGTTTACTTCTCAGTAAGTCATGTAACTCAACTTTTCCACTGTACTTTAGGTTTTTATGGAGAATGGATACCATCATCTTCGCTTAATCAAATAAGCCCCACCCCTTCCCTCTTAAACTTCTTGAAATTAATATACCGTTCACCGTACAACTCGGGATTTTAAGAAACAAATTTTTTTTTGGGAGGGGGGCACTATTAAGAGTGAAGAGGTTAATCAATTTTATGTTCAGTTTTTGGACTTACCCTCTCGCTGGATCCACTTCACATTCGCTCCAGCTCTTCTCATCCACACCACTGTAAATACCATTGTTGTTCACAATCACAAACACTATTGGTAGATTGTACCTGCAATAAAATACCCCAAAATTTCAACAGCCTCTATTTCTCTACCTGTGACATATTTCTCTACTTGTGACATATTTATACCAATAAACTAAGTCAATATTATTCCAGGACATTTTTTAAAAAAAGAAGGAACAAAAAACTTTCATGAAAGACGTTTTCAGGAGTAGTACAAACTTGCTAAGATTTCTACTGATGGCATTTTTTTCTCAGTACAGTGGCTACACTTTAAATACTCATCATCATCATCATCATCATCATCGTTTTTTGTCAATGTAGCTTTAGCTACCCGAACATAACTCCTCCCTATTGCTGACTAGCACGAAAATAAATGCTAAGGATAACAAATTGGCGCGAAAAGTGTTTATCTCAGACACATGAATTTCTGATTTTTTAAGTTAGTGGGGATCCTCTCATTCAGTCCCTAAGATAATATCATGGCCCAGCCTCGAAAATAATTTTTCTTGGTCCTGCAGGCCGCGGTTTACCTTAAAAATAAGGCAGGGCTATAGGGACCCCACCCCTAAATCTGTCCGTGAATTTCATTAAATTCTTAAATCAAAACTATGATAAGCACCTGCATGCAGTTTCAAGTTCCATTCCTGAAAATCCAAATGCACTGTCACCTTGTACACACACAACCCTCCTGGGGGTACGTGAAGCATCTGTTTGGCTTTCAGCTAGCAGGGCTGCAGCAATAGCAAACCCAATTCCGACTCCCATTGTACCAAATGTGCCTGCATCTAATCTAAAAAGGTCCAACATGAAAGAAAAAGCTAAGTGTGACGCGAAAATGGGCTATTGTCATTCCCTTTCCATGTCATTTGCAAAGAGTATAAAGAAATACTTCAAAACACACTACACGCGGTGCGGTTATCATTAATTGAGAAAACAGCAGACACTTTGTGATGCCACCACAAGGTTTCTTGGGAAATGACATCTGAGAAACAAGCACAGAAATTCCATACTGATCACATGTCACTACCAAGCTCTCGGTAGTCATGCATCCGATTGAATGAAACAAATTTTAAACCAATAAGAAGCACTACCCAGATCTGGGTAGTGACACGTCTTCAGCATGGACTTTCTGCCATGTTTCCTCGGACGTCATTTTGTGAGGAAACTAGCGATGCCATCGCAAAATGTCAGCTGTTTTCTTAAGCTCAACTATCATAGAACACACCATTTCAAGTTACGCGTGACGGTACCACTTAACCAATGGCAGTTCTGAAAGGGGCACAATTTTAGAACTTAGGTCAGCCAAACACAAATTTCTAAGAAAACTTGCCACTAAACTTTGCTAGTTAAAGAAATGAATGGGCAAAAAGAATACCAAGCAAAAATAGTGAGGGTAAGACGCATAAAAATAGAGATGTTTACATGTAGATCAGAGTGTGGATACAAAATTGAGTTTGAGTTCGACAGATTTGCCTTGCAAATCAAATGAATGCATGTGAACACGTGCTCCTTTTCATGGAACAATCTAAGGGTCCATATTTCTACGAATTGACTCATATAAGAGACCCTCGACTTTCTTTATAATAATCATCATTATTATTATTATTATTATTATTATTATTATTATTACAGACAAAGGTACAATGGACAAGTTTATTGTGTGTACTCCTTTCTTCTATCCAATTAAAACAGTTGTCAACAATAATGAAACTGTACAAATACACAGCTAAGCAGACCTTTTCCTGGGAAGTTGATTTGGCATCATTGTCCGTCCAATGTCCATAGTGTTGGCACCTTCATTAACTATTATACAGTCATGTGGTAAATGCTTTTTAAGCTGGGAAAGTACAAAAGATTGTCAAGCACAAGCCTTCAGCTTACTGCTGATAGGGAGTATACTGTCCTTTGGGAAAATACCTTGAGGGGGGAGGGTATCATGGTAGAAGACCAGTTGTTCAATAGAGGGATAGTGTAATCCACAATCCACTGGACAAGTGTTAGGGAAACCTATTGCACTATCCAATGTACAGTGATTTTTCTGGTGGATATTTATCCACCCATTGAGCAACTGTTGGCAGACCTGAATTATACCTGTAGACTGACAGAAAAACCCATGTCAACCTTTATACAAAATTCCAAACAAAAACAACCAAGAAATAAGACAAGACAAGACACCTGCAGATAAATGCCTTGTCTGGACATTTCTCTGGTAGCAATCCAGACCGGCACCCTGTTTAGCTGATTGTGCCATTTATGCAAACGTTTTTCCACCTCTTGTCATACAGTTAAGTTGTGGCTCAGAAGTATTTTACGAGTGGTCCCCATTTTTCCTCAGGTATATTAGAGCGAGCAGAACACGAGCATGCATGAAAATCACCCCACGTGAGAAAGGTACTTGCTCTACTGTCCCTGAGGAAAAATGGGGACTACTTGTAATAGTAATAGTAATAAATTGCTTTATTTGCATGACCGCATCATTTTACAGTATTGCAAAAGCATGTATATGACAATCAAAATATAAAACAAAACAGCACTAATAATAATCTAGAAAAATTCGGTTACATTACTAACAATGAATCACGTATTTTCATGCAGGAGGAAACAAACTTCATAACTAACTTATTTACATGATGTTCCTTCGAATTCATTATCAGTTTTATGCTTTCTGGAGATGATTTCTTGTCAAAGTCAGGTATTATTTGATTGATTTGATTAACCCATTCGCCCCTGAACCGCCCGTAACCGCCCGTGCGGATCCAGGTCCTTTCTACCCTTTGTGACGTCATCAGTTTTAACGGTCAAGGACAACTTTCTTCGCACACGTGTGCAGAGTGAAGAGATCTTTCAAAGCATACCAGAATGAGCACAATTCAGTCAAGGACACCGGAGAAAGAAGCAAAAAACCACGTGACAAGGACCTGAAAATCTCCATGAAAATCTTGTTCCATTACCCACCTACCTTTCCTTTCACCTAATCCTAAGATCCTAAACGCTTTCCTAAAAACTCTTCCCACCAAAATGAAGCCTACTAAATGCCCAGCAAGAGAAAAAAAAAATGAGGCAAGAAAAGCGAAAAAAGAAGGGAGGAGAGAAAGCGAAAAGTAAAAGTCAAGACTGCTGTGTCACTTTTAAACCCAAAAACTATGTCGAAATTTTGCTTTCTGCGCATGCCCGAACTTCGTAAGCTGATATTTTGCATCTGGATCAGAAGGTCGCCAAGTGTACGACCTGTAAACCGGTTTGTGGTAAGTTTTAGCTCTTTATAGCACGACAGTGACCAGAAAACCACTCGACTAGCTTCAAAACGCGTTTTTCGGCAAAATCTCCAGGAGCGAATGGGTTAATAAATGCCTGTCTCTGTACTGAGTATTTGTTACATTGAAAGAGCAAATGAATCTCATCTTCTATCTGATTTGAGTTACATAAAGGGCATAATCTATTTTCTCTTGGCAAATGATCGATTTGGTATCAACCATGTTCAATCATAAGTTTGTGATTACTTATTTTAAATTTAACAAAATTCTGTAGTCTACTCAGAAAGCTGGTGGAGCATCATTCAGTGTGTGTCTCTAACCTGTCCATAAACTTGATAATAATTCATTGGAACTGTTGATTCATTGGCAAGTTCCTGGAAGCATAAAATAGTTACTATAAGCAAATAAAAATTATCATTTCTTTCAAATTTCCATATTTCACTACTTCCAGTTAAGCCACTATATTAGCATTGGCGTCATTCAAAAGCTTGAAATTTTCTGTGCCACAAAAATGCAGTTTCTTGTAATTTGCTATCTTATACAGTTTGCAGGTTTCAAATGTTTATTTTACATTGTTTTTAGTAATGCTTTCATTCTTAAAACCTGACTAAACACTTCAGGCCATTTAAAAGCAGAACTTTAACCCTTTCACTGCCAAATGTAGCCAAAGGCAAATTTTGACCAAGTTTGCAAATTTCATTTTGTAACATTTTGCAAAATAAATAGCAAAATGCGACAGTACAGGCAGAGAGCTTTCATTTGAATGGTCACATCAGAGGATTTCGTCAACAGACTCAAAAGTTAGCGTCATCTTACCAAACTCCACCAAGCACTCTGGCAGTGAAAAGTTTAAAGAAGTGGCTTTGACTCACTATCCACTGTGAACAAAATGTGCTAAAAAAAACACACTATTTACCTCATTTCTTTTCTTATTGGCTTCTGATTTTTCCAGCAACTCTTTTCTCCAGGAAGCTGTGCCACACAGATTACTTGGAGTCTTCCCATAGGCTCTCATCACTGTTGAGTTCAACTAGTAAACAATAATACAGATCATCATCTGGCCCATTCAGGATTTCTCAGGTTGGTTACACAAGTAAGAGTCCCTCTTTGGCCGTACAATAAATCCTTTATTGACCTCAAGCTTGGTTAATAATTTTGTTTATTGGTGAGTATACCATTATCTATAAAAATACACTTTATTTGAGTGTCAATGTATTTAGTATGAAAGTACTAATTGGGAACACAATACTATTCTTACGTCTCCTAGACAGGACAGCTAGCTAGTTTATGTGGTCATCTGAGCCACACTAAGTTCTAGCCAATTGCAGGACAAAGACAGTCCCTTTATTTCTCAGTCATTTTAAGACCCTGAGTGTTGGTCCAGTCCCGTAAATCGATCCCGTGGCCTCCGACTCCGCATGTCAAGCAGGTGCAAATAACAACTGTAGATATCCCCACAGATGAGCAATAATAATGTGAAACCTGAAAAACCTGTTCTGCACATTATGCATCACCAAATAATTTTTTTTTATCTTCAGGAAATAAACAAACTATATATCGTGACTGCTCGGGCCATTGGCAACTTTCATCTGCTATTTGCTATTTGTTTTTCGCAACATAATCTACGCCTGATAGATTTGGGACATTGTTTGCAGGTTTCAGTGACGAAGTTCCAAGATAAATTTGCAAGTTTACGGCAAGTAAATAGCCCCTATAGCTGAAATAAGTTTCAAATATGTTGTACAGACATGTATTTGATAAGATTTCTACCGAACTTGGCGGTATTTTTTGTGTTTTTGTGAATTTCGCGGCTCCGCGACTGCGCAAAATATCAGAAGCCCTGTATTTTTAAATTTGCTGTGTTTGTTTTAATAGTTTTTAATATCATAATTTAGGATTGTATCTTGTTCTAGTATTTTTATATTTTAATCCGTCGTGTCTTTTTTTATTAGTTGTAAATATTTTAATTACGTTTGAGGGCCACTAGTTCATCAGTGTTAACTGTCATGTGTTACTCTCATTAAATAAAGTTGCTACCTACCTACCTATTTCACTATGCATTTATTGACATCACAGTACATATAGGTTGTCAAAGAAGGTTTTAATAAACAAAGAAATTAGTAGTTGAGCAAAACCATTTACCAAAAACCCATAGAAAATTAGCTCATGGTATCCTGTTCACGAGAAGAGTAAAACCAGTAAAATAAAGCTTGTAATTATTTTTAATGCAATTAAATTATTGCACCTGTTCTGTGACACTTTTAACATCTCCCAACAGGGTGACCTCAGCAGGAATATTATTCCCCATCTCCTCTGCATGGAGATCAATCTGCAAAGGAAAAAGTACCTATAAATTGTTTTACTTAGAATTCTTAGTGATAGTCAAGTCTAGTCACATTTGTTTAAAGTTGGCTCAAGAAAAACCTGTACAATATGAAACTCTCACAGAAGATGGGGAGCTGAGGGGAAGGAGGTACTTTGACAAATTCCCACCAAATATCAGCATGATAATTTCAAACAAACTGAAGAGAAACATTAAAATTTAGAACATTTTTTATTTTAATGAATAATGTTCAAATTTTATAATTCTTAGTACTTTTCCTAGCATGATGGAAACCAAATATTACAAATCCGCCATGGTGACCCTTTGGAAACATGACACCATGCCCATGTTACGTATCATTTAAAGTTACCCAGACCATCTTGACTTATTATAAGTTTTAACAACAAATATATGTTGTGCAAACCCTTCAGTGTGAAACTTAAGTTAAGCCATGCCAGGCAGGATTAGGAGCTGGTTGAGTGACCAGCTGCTCATTTAGTAGGGAGCTTTAGCATCCAAAACGGCGACGGCAGCAAAAACGTCACTTTTAAAATGAATTCATGTTTTTTCAAACTTTATCGCATTTATTCCAATTCACTGAAAATGTGAAATGTAGGCAAATTTCCCTGGAGTTGATTTCTTGGGGACTGGACTCATTAGTTAAGAAAGAGAAAGAAAAATTAGTCGTCGCTTGTTTACGTTCTCCATAAAATGTGAAATTAGGCATTTCCACATTGTAGTCGTGCAGTGACAGCAAAGAAATGTACAATAAAGCATGCCGCACGTGCAAAGTTGTTTTGCTCATCAAACCTATTACATTTTTGCCGTTCTCGTCACCATCGCCAACGTCATTGCTTAAGCTCCCTGATCCTTTCGTATGAGGAGTTCCACTTCTCTCTCTTATGCCCTCTCCTTGCTTTGTTTCATTTGTCCTTTTTGACTAAAAATGCACTTTGCAAAAAAAAAAAACATGCAAAAAATGTCTGGGAATGATAGAGAAGAATTTGAAATTGATACTTGGGATAGCAGGAGGTTCAACTGTGTCTGTAAAAGTACCTGAACAATCTTAACATCAGCTTTGAACCTTGGAGGTTTTCCAAAATGAAGAATCCAGTTTAATCTTGCTCCAAACAGGAAAATTAGATCAGCTTGTGACAATGCCCTAATAAAGACGAATATTTCTTTCATCATCATCATAACCATCACCATCATCATCAAGGAAGACCTTTTAATTAGCCTGTGTGGAAAGTGAAAGGGGGAAGGAAGTAGCAAAGAGTGCACATAGAGGGGGAAAATGTCTCCACTCGTTGCGTGCACTTTGCACTCTCACATGCTCAAATTCTCTCATTCCCTTCCCCTTTTAACACCTGCCACCCAGGCTAGGCATACATAGGCCACAAGACACTGACAGCAACTGCAGAAAACCCACCCAGAGAGAGTTTCACCTGCGTAGTGGTGTCTGAGTAGTACAAGGTACCTAAGTAGGGTTATTCCTTGCTAATTGTAACCCAATGGAGAGAGTGTTTGTCCATCCCAGGCTTACCCCAGTATTATGTTGCCATTCTACTGGCTTTTTTTTATATTGCTATTTTGAATTAACAAATTATTTCACTCTTGATTAAAGCATTGATTGCTTGATTAACTGTTTCATTGACTATAAAAACGTTTTGTTGATTTATTGTCCACCATATGACTCACAACTAAGGCTTACATGGGTGAAGCATGCATACATCTGACACTACAATGCTTCACTGACCTTGATCTGGCGGCAGCAACACTTAAAGGATGTTCATCAGAAATGACACCTTTTCCCATGGGTGTTGGTAGAAAAGGAAGCTTGCACCTCTCAACAAATTCCAGAAGGGGTTTCTCTGCATGCCCATATGCTGCACCTAATTTTAGCACAAGAACAGCAACAAAAATGTGTTTTGAAAAAATTGAGGTAAAGCATTCACTGCCATCGATAACTGGGTGTGAACAGGCAAAATGTGATTTTACATAATAACTTACTATAAGATGAGAGTAGTAGCTTTGAGTGTCCGAATGACCACACACACACAATTCAGTTCAGTGTCTTCAAAAGATTTGGCAAACTTATCTCATCCGAAATTATGCTTCGCCTTTATAAAGCGTTTATCTTACCCCATTTTCACTACTGTTCAATGATATGGCACTTTTGTAATTCAGAAGATTCTGTCAAACTGGACACCTTAAATAGACGTATTTTAAGATTTGTTTTAAAGGACTGGGACTCGAACTATGATGCTCTTCTAGACAAGGCTGGTGTGTGTGGTTTAGCCAACAGGAGGATACAAAATATGATGATTTGTATATTCAAATGTCTCCATTTTGGTAAATATCCGTGCTATTTAAAACAACTGATCAAGTTAAGATCTACTGCTTACTCCCTACGGGGTACTAATATTTTATCACTTCCTAAGCCGTCTACAACCACATATGGTCTAAATTCCTTTAGCTATTCATCTGTTAAGTACTGGAATTCTCTACCTGATCACTTTAGAAAGACTGTAGATTATAGTGAATTTAAGCGCAAATTGTTAGTGCACGGTTTTAGTTAATACTACATCAATATATTATATTATATATGTTGTAACTTTTAAAATTAGTTAGGATCGGAGATACTAGCTATGTAAGCTACACTAAAATCCGAGGATAAATAAGTTTATGTATGTATGTATGTATGTATTCACCACAACCAGTTACTGATGACCAAATTTGGAAGAATTTTGTGTTTAATGAGGAAATGATGTCAAAAATGCAGCCCGCTACAGGTTAATGCACCGTTAACCGAGAAGACCTGGGGACAAGGTTGAGTTGTTTTGGTTGTGAAAGCAAAAATGGCGGACACTTCACTCGATTCAAGAGTAAAAACTACAGCTGGAACTAGGTGAAATAATAGCTAAAAACATAGTAAAAACAGCAAGAAGACAACTCGTAAGGCGACATCTGCTATTTGGAGAATATTTGAGGAGCTGGACAAACCTAAACATACACTATCGAAGCTGAACTTAACATCGATACAGGTAAGCATGTTTTAGCTATGTTTATAAACTAGAAATTATTTTCGTAGGATATGAAGAATTAAGCAGATCTCGAAGGGTGTTTTCCACCTTGGCCAACACCCTCCTCGATCTGCTTAATTCTTCATATCCTACGAAAGCCGAATTCATCAATTGCTAAATATTCATAATAATTTTTAGGAAACAAAATTGACATCCAACAGAGTACCATTGTTAAAACAAGTTTTACAATGACTAACGAGATGATAATGATTGCACTTTAACATTCCACTCAAAATTGAAGTTTCCACATAAACTTTCAAACCAATTTCTTGGTCATTTCTGGGTATCTTTCATAGTCAAGTTACTGTATCAGTACAACAACCATGAAGCTAAAAATAAGTTATACTGTCTTAGTTTGGAGTGTTTCATTACCTTTGCCAATTATTACAAGAGGCTTTTTAGCTTCAGTAAGAATCTTAACTGCTTTTTCCACTTCAGATGGATCAGCCAAAGACTTGGGTGGGGCTGGACATCGAGAAATTGATCTGTGGAAAAAATTGACCTCATGTAAAGAAATGACATTGAATCAATTGAAACCCCATTATCCTCTTTCATACAGTACAAGGGAAAATGACTTTTGATAATACCAAACAGTTGGAGCAAAATAATGTAGTAGCAAACATTGGCAGAGACAACACTAGTACACTTGTTGGAATATTTTTAAATATTATGAACTTATTATGTATCCAGCTTTTATGAATAGCCTGCGTAGCAAGAGTTTCTGTTTGGTTTCGGAGCAAAGAAATACCGAGGAAGGGGACTTTCAATTTTGACTGCGTGAGAAATGAAACGACAGCCAAAAAGTGAAAGAGGGGGAAGGGGAAGGGGAAGGAAGGAAACGCTTGCAGACAAACCCCTCGATTTTGAAAACCTGCATTCGCCAGCGAACGCAGCGCCTGATTGGCTTGGCTAGTCGAACAATGCTGACATGTGTCGATCAAAGGTTTGTTTCATACTGAGAGGTCACGTTTGGTACGTGACACGCATATTAATTTTCTGTGGTATTGTTTATTCTGGTCGGCAAGATTTTCCCTCCAATGCAAGAGCATTTTATTTAACTTCTTTTGAAACACAAAGCTCTTCTTGCGAATTAATAAGGGTTTCAGGTCGTTTTATTTGTCTCCTGGATCTGGATTTAACTAAAAGCGATTTTCTTTTGTCAGGTAACCTGTTGTCAGGGAATGCGATTGTTTCCTGCAATGTTTTGTTATGCCGGGCCCAGCTTGTTAGTGTTTGTTTGTTTGTTTCTTTTTTTTTTGCGGGATGTTAAATTCTCTCGGATAGTGATTTACAGATAAAAATTTTGAAGAATGGATTGCACCTTAAACTGAAGCTACATCAACTAGGAAGACCTGCATTGTGACTCAGTCAAAATTTCTGCTTTGTTCTCTACGCGAACTTCATCAGTTGCCGGGTTAGCTTTGCTCTAGGATGCTTTTACAAGAGCACTCTAGTTGTCTGTGCCGTGGCGAGAACGGTAAGCCGTTCTGTCTGGCTGATCTAGACTTGAATGCTTGTCACATTTTACCACTTCAAATCCAACTTTCTGGAGGTTTAGAGCTAAAACTTTAAATCTTCATTCACCCTCGCGGTCCTTCCTTTTAGACGGATTAAGAAGACAAATGTACAAAGCCTGCATTGATCGTTCGGATTCATTGAGATTTAACCATCAACGCCGTCCACGCGCTCCAAAATACAAAAAAAAAAATTTATAATGATTTCACAAACGAGTCCTCTAAAGTTCTTTTCAGCTTCACGGAAGGCCAGACATTTTATTGGTCAATTATGACAGCATCAAATGTCGGTTCGCGAACTCAGGCGAGACAGACCAGGTGGGTGGTTTTCAAAATCCCGGGGTTTGTCTGCAAGCATTTCCTTCCTTTCTTCCCCACCCCCTCCCCGCTCTTTTACTTGAGCCACTTTTTTCGCTGTCTTTTTTGACTCTCGTTTCTCGTTCTTTTCTCCTAAACCGTACAGAAACGCTTGCTACGCAGGCTAGCTTTTATGAACAGTCACCTTGCCTTACAAGCTGCAATGGTTTCAGTAATCATATTTCCTGGCAGGTCCAGATAACAAGCACCAGGTCTGCCATACAAACTTGTTCGTACCGCCTATACGTAAAAAAGAGATTATTTTATTTTAAAGATATGACTAAAAAATCAACATGATCATGGTAACTATTTATACACTTAAGCTTGTTCATATTTTTACAAGGATTAAAACCCTTCTTTAACTTTAAGAATTTATTAATAACCATTATTTTTGGCATATAAAAGGAGTTTCTAATAAGGATCTTTTAAAACTAAACATGGTAAATATACTTAAATCATTTTAAAATTGTAACAATAACACTTCAATTATACAATTTAGTTTCTTTCCACATACAGACAAATTCATTGGACTAATTCACTGATTAATAACACCTAGACCAAAATATTGATATTGATTAAATATAACAATGTTCTTAACCTAGAGAGACATTATATGTACATGTGTGTATTGATGCCCTGTTAGAGTAAAATCCTGACAAGCAACATGGCCTTTAAATGGTGACATAATTAAGATTCTTGATGAAATGGCCACAAATGACATGAAGATGGGTTGAAACTGTGACAACGACGAGTAAAATCACAAATAAAATAGTGAAAGAGTGACAGTGACATGACCTCTTCTTCATTCAATACGCAAAACCCCCACCTAAGAAGGTCTCTGTATCACAATATTAATTGATCTTAGTGACCATGACAGACTTTCCTCGCACCAAAACTATAACTAACATGTGAAAGGATTTTCAAAACTGTAGATTGTATCAGCTTATGAAAATAATATTAAATGTAAATACAGGTACGTATCAAAAATATGCAGTACCTTTTCAACAAAGAAGGGTATTTGCCCTACGCTTCCTGGTCGTGCAGAGTACTTAGTGTAAAGTCTTGCTGCTTCAACCTGCAAAACAAGGCAAAAAGGGACAACAAGATGATGAAAGAATAATTAACTGTAATTTTCACACATTGTATTGTGCAAAAATAAAGATGGTCAAAAGTAACCTGGAATATACGGGATTTTACTATTTCCAGAAAGGCCTTACCAAGGAACCACAACAACGAAAAACAGTTCTTCTACTTATTAAACGACCCACTACTTACTTGTGGAAATTCTTGAAAAGCACCCATACTTTCTTGATCCACATCACATGAACCACCAATTACTAGAACTGGCCTAAAGAAACAGACACACAGACAAAGAAGTGCAATAATGTACTAAGACTTAAATATTGCTATTCACATTTAATAATAATAATAATTTAATGATATTAATTTGAAATGTGCAAATGTCTATGCATGGTTCGTACCCAAGGACTTTTCAAGGACTTTCAAGGACACATCTTCCATTTTTCAAGGACTCCATTCAGTGCAAAAAAGACCTTGAGTTCTACCACAACACAGGCAATTTTATCCTGAAGGTCTTTCTGTGTTTGTTCCTTTTCCTTTGGGTTGGATAAATAAAGTTAGCACCAAAATTCAGGGACTTTTCAGAACCGATTGCAATTTTCAAAGAATTTCGAGTCCTTGAATTTTTTGTAGAAAATTCAAGGACTTTCAAGGTGAGTGCGAAGCCTCTCTATGTGAAGAATTATACAGATTGAGGAGGGTGTGATCCACCGAGGCCTTAACAGCCTCTGAGATCTGCAAAATTCTTGGTATCATACATTGTACATAAGCCTAATAAATTAAATAATTTGTTTTATTATTAATTCAAAATATTTCTAAGTTAAACAAACTTAATACATCCTTCTCATATTTTTCTTCAGAACATCATCAGAAACAATACTCCTCAAAAAGTAGATGACATTTACCAAGAAACATTTTTGGGTAATTTTTGCATTTCCTCCATTCAGTTTTATAGTCAGAAATTCGGCCTTGTATTTGGATCACCGTGAACTCAAGGGTGCCATACTACTTTCACGAAACAAAGTTGTGATTGTGTGTTGAGGCAATACACCATGGTATCAGTGGTAGGTATGGGCGCTTTCCATTTAGGAAAAAAACCCGGAAATTTCGGTGGGAGCAAAAGTGGAATTTCCGATTGGTAAAAAGTTGCTCCATTTGGTCGTAAACCCCGGTACGTCGCGGTGCCCAACAGTGGACCTGGAACTGGTACAAACTACGAGAAACATAAATGGAACACGACATTCCGTTCGGAAATTCCAACCGGGAAAACAAGCCCACCTTTTTAGATTTTCCACTTTTTCTGGGAATTTTCCAGTGGGATGAACCGACGAAACGTGTTCCATTTACTGCCGAACCGGAAATTCCGGAAATTTGACTAAAAAATTATGGAAAGCGCCCATATCACTCACATCTTCCAATTTCATCAGTGCTAGCTAGTTATAAAGAATTATCCAGGAGACTAAGGCCAATCAGAAATGGTGAAATAATATTTTGAATAAATAATAAATTGAAATACACAGGCCTTCCCACCAGCTAAAGCTTCTAAAACTGTACACGTGCATGAACATCAAAAGGAATATATATATTTAGGTCTTGAGGGTTCACTGCAGGTAAGTGTTGCTAACAAAATAATACTCTTACTGATGATACAAGCCTGAGGTAAAACTTACAATTTTACATTCTACATGGTACAATATCAAAATAAATTATTCTTACATCTACTTTAGGTATATAACAGACAGACTTACCAGCAGTTACTCATTGCATTTGCCATTCCTCCAAGAGCATGTAATAAACCTGGTCCAGAAACCACCAAGCAAACACCAGGCCTACAAGAAATCCACATTTACAATAAATAAACTGGGTAGTCAATTGAGATAGCCCATATACTTCTAAGATGTGGCTAAATTAGACTTGCCAATAGTTGAACTCTCATACATTCTTAAAAGTGAGCAAAGCGAGCTTCATTGCGTGAGGTCACGCAGTGACTAAGCGAGCGACGAATTCTCAAGGTCAACTTGTTTGGCATTAATGGATTTGAATCATATTATAAATTCACACAGGAAAAAAATGATTGACATATGCGTATTGGCAGCGTGTCCAAGTGGTCTGCATGTCGGACTTGTAATCCAGTGGTTCTGGGTTCAAGTCCAGCTCTGGCCACTTGGCCATCTTGATTTCAAATCCTCGGCCACGCTTGTAAATAGCCAACTGGTTGCCTCCTGCCAGTTAGGGTTTTTACTGAATTATTTGTCTCTAAGTATTTGAGTGGAGTGCCTGTAAAACTAGAGCTCTGGATAAGCTAAGTGCACTTTCCTCTATAAACAAGCCCTTAAACCTTAAAACCTTAACCCTAATAATTATACTGCGTCAGGAGCTGCATGAAAATATCACTCACTGTCCTATTGGTCAATTGTCATGCCGTCACCGATAGAATTTTCAACCAGTGAATTTAACACCAAACAGGTATGAAAAAGTCAATCCTTTAAAATGGCATAACCAACCAGGAAAAAAAATAGACGACTTTTAGATAGTCTATAGCTAAATGTAGTTGAAGTTATAGTCACAAGACCATGCAGGCCAGAGGTCTCTATCACTAATCGTTTATAAGGTAGTCTTTGGAATTTGCAGTGCTCTAGTAATTTTACAGTGCTTTTGCTGGGGTCAATCATTTTGCTCACTGCTGCCTTCACTTTGCAGTAGCTATAGTTATTTTTGCTCCCACTCCCTTCTTTTCTCTTTATGTCCATTGGTAAGTATTGACAATTATTTTTTGACGGAGGTTCTCAGTGTGACGGTTTGTGGTGGTTGCCGCTCACAGGGTTGTCATGGTTATGTTCTGTGCTTGTTTGCAGCTCCCTCAGTTTACCCAAGTACCTTTCCCACTCCCATCTAATGTTGAAGGGTTTTACAATATTATACATGTAAACTTTATTTGTTTTTTGTACTTCCTCTCTTCCTGCATTACCAAACAGCGTGAATAACTTAGAGGACTTTCTTGATGTTGTTGAGGGCCTGGGTATCAATCTAGAGGTGAAATAATTCTTTATTTTGAACTGGTTAGCAAATCTATGCCAGTAAAGCTCAAAAGCTCTTGCCATACACAGTGCTCAACCTCAGGGGTAGTCCACTAGTCCAGGAGGACTAGTACAAAATGCTTCTGGACTTGTAAAAACTTAGAGCCACAAACAAGTAACTAATTTGTAATTGGTATACAGCAACAAACTTGGTTCCATGTTGTGGTTGACTTTCAAACTTGCCAGAAACCAAGGAGCAACTTCCCTATTTCAGACTAACTGATTTGCAGTTCAAAATCTGGCAATGATTTGTTTTTCCATAGTTTTATATAGGTACACTGTAGATTCTAAAAACCTTTTTATAATACTTAGGGTAATTGACATCTTGTTCTAAACTGCTAATTTGGAACACCTCATTGACAAATTTTAGAACACTTTGAACACCATACAAAAAAAAAATTTGTTTATTAATTTTGACCATTAATCAATTATTCAAGCAAATACGGTAAATTCTTTCAATCCTATCAACTGAAACAATTTCCCCTACTAACCTTCCAGTCAGATAGCCAATAGCTGATGCTGCATAACAAGCCTATAACACAGAGAATGTATCAGGCTGGCCATTACATGAGAATAAATGAAAGTACACCAGGAAGTTTCTCACGGGGTGTAAACAAACCAACAACACGACAGGCAAAGCCACTTGAACAACTTCGTAAATGCTAAAGCCTGGTTTTCATATGATCATCTGGATCATCCCGATCATCCCAGTCATCTCAAATAATGTTCCGACGATCAGGACGATTATATGGAAATGCTACCTGGGTGATGACAAATGACCCAGATGACTGGGATGACCTTGATCCCTTGGATAGACTTGAGTTCTATCCCGGACAATCGGGACAACTGTGAAAATTTTGAAGCAGTCATATGGAAACACTTTCAGACGACTGAGACAATTGGGACGGTCAAAGTCTATCCCAGAAATCATCACTTTTATTCCAGTAATCGAGAATGAATTTGGTTTGGACACTGCTGACGTCGAAAAAAAATAATAATACAAAAATGTTCGCAACTCATATAATGGGCGCTATTTGATTGAAGCAAGACAAAAATAATGCATGACATCAAGTTCTTAACATGATACTATGTCATCGTGGATTTCTTCTAGCTTCTCGACGCCGCAAAATCAAAAGAAAAAGCAGATGGCAAGGCACAAGGTTCGCCCTCCGCGTCAGGATCGTCAGGATCGTCTCAAAATTTTTTGAAATGACTGGGCCGATCAGGACGATCATATGGAAACCAGGCGTAAAAACATTGCAAGAGAGAAACCTCTACTCGCAAGGTACAGTTGTACATCTCCAGGCTCTATTCTACTCTAAATTCGAGATTTCTTATTTTAAGAAACGAAATCCTATGATTTGCTTTAAATTTTTCTCGTAAAATAAGAAAACTTTTTCTTAATTGAGAGTTTCGGAGCAATCTCGAATTTAGAGTGTTCGTATTAACTATTTGTGAGAAACAGCATCAAATTGCTACATGCATGATAAATGTATGAAGTTGTACGGAAATCTTACCCAAATTTCTTCCATAGATAAACTGACCTGGAGAATTTTTGCAAAAATCAATCAACGACTAAACTGTCGCGCGTGTGATGACAGCGAAATGCTCACCGCTTGCTCGTTTCTCATGCCGATGTATTTGATTCCCTCTGCCTGTGCAGCTCCCGCCACCTCGACAACCGGAATACCCACAACTCCAAACATATATTCCACACCTTGAGTTTTCAAGGCAGAGGCCAGGAGAGAAGCGCCATTTGGAGCATCGCCTTCGACATCTTTCTTACTTGCTGCCGCCATTTCGAAATCTGCGATACAATACGTGTCTGCATACACCGAGTGGGTATCTATTCGCAAATGAGAAAAAAAATCGGGAACGCTGGAATAGGGACTGCAAAACAGTCCGTATTTTTGCATATTCATATACGCGCGAACCAGTCAAACAAAAGGTCTGGAGCGAGGCTGAAAACGGAGAGCGAGACTTTTCTCCTGCTTTTCTCTCGCCTCACCAGGCTTAGCCTGTTCCTGGCTCCGAGATTGTCGGGCCCGCTGAATTGAGAACGCGCGAACACGAAAATAAAACGGGAGAAAACGCGTGCCTTTTACTTTCGCGTCTTTCCAATATCTGAGTGCCTGGAACAGGCCACCAGGCTCGATTACCAGCTGCTCGATTACTCCTCCCCTCTCTCTTCTCTGGAAGGATTGAGAGAGCGGTCAGTGTAAGACGCAGACTGCGGACTGCAGACTGTGGACCAGGGGTAAAATGCAGACTGAGTGTAAAATGCAGACTGCAGACTGAGAGTAACATGCAGGCTGGGTGCAAAATGCAGAATAAAGACTGTAGACATTTTTAAACATTTGTGCTCCGGTGTGTAACCGGTATCAGTTACACACTTCGCTTCCTAGTCGTAGTGCATTGCACATTCGCCAGAAGTTTCAATGAACATCCGAACAGCTTAAGCCTGCGTACCTTGATTTGCAATACTTTCATAGAAGGTCATCCAAATTTCCTGCAGAACATCTTTCTAATTTACTCCCTTTTTTTATCGCCATATTCTTCCGATACAGTATTTTGGGTCAGCAGCTTTCATTTAAGCGTAAACATCGTGGTGTTGCACCAATTCACGGTCCCTGGTCACGTATATCTAAAGTTGAAGCGTGAAGTCTCTCGGACGGAAAAAAAGGTTCAAGATTTCTATTATGTTTTCGGGTCGTCGATGACGTTCCAGAGAAGAAAGGAATGGATTTGTAAAAGCAGATGTCGTCAAGTGAGTGTTAATTTACATGTATTTGCGGGATTTTTCTGCCCTTAAACCCTTCCACGACTACAGTTTATGCTCGGTCTGCATTTTACCCCAGCCTGCGTTTTACTCTTAGTCTGCAGTCTGCATTTTACCTCTGGTCCGCAGTCTGCAGTCTGCAGTCCGCAGTCTTCGTTTTACACTGGCCGATTTCTTTAACGGTCAGTGTAAAAGACAGACTGCGGACCAGGGTTAAGATGCAGACTGCAGACTGAGAGTAAAACGCAGGCTGGGTGCAAAATGCAGAATAAAGACTGTAGACTTTTTTAAACACTTAATTGTTTTCCTTCTTCTCCAAGTCAGCTAGCCGGCATCAGTTACATACTTCGCTTCCTAGTCGAAGTGCATTGCACATTCGCCAGAAGTTTCAATGAACATCCGAACAGCTGGTCTGCGTACTTGATTTGCAATACTTTCATAGAAGGTCATCTAAATTTCCTGCAGAACATCTTTCCTTGTTGTTGGAATGATTATTACTCCCCTTTTTATCGCTATAATTCTTCCTGTACAGTATTTTGGGTCAGCAGCTTTCATTTAAGCGTAAACATCGTGTTGTACCAATTCACGGTCCCTGGTCACGCAGTATCGAAAACTTCGCCTGTAAAGTTGAAGCGTGAGGTTTAAATAAGGTTCAAGATTGCGATTATGTTTTTGGGTCGTCGACGACATCCCAGAGAAGAAAGGAATAGATTTGTGAAGGAGATGTCGTCAAGTAAGCAAGTAGTGTTCGATTACATGTATTTTTTTTTTGGGAATTTTTTTTGCCCTTATTAAACCTTTCCACGAGACCACGACTACGGTTTATACTCGGTCTGCATTTTACCCCAGCCTGCGTTTTACTCTCAGTCTGCAGTCTGCATTTTACACACAGTCTGCATTTTAGCCCTGGTCTGCAGTCTGCAGTCCGCAGTCTGCGTTTTACACTGACCAATTTCTTTAAACAATTTTACACAAAGCTTACTTGTTGTTGAAGCCGCTTCGTCAGAACACACCTCAGGTACACCGACAATTTTAACATTGTATTGAAAGCTATATTCTTGGAATTCATCGATGGCGTTGGCAATGGCGTCCACCCTGGCCTTGAACTCTGAGAGTTGTGAACAACACTAAATAGTCGTTGCAGCTCTTTGTTGGCAGTGGTTTTGAAGAGAAGAAAGTCATCATATTCCTTGCTTAGGAATTCAAGACTGTGAGATTTTTCTTTAGCAGAAGGGGCGGTACTGCTGCTTTGTTCCCGAAGGCTTTGAAAATGGTATAATTCAAAGGTTTTTGACCGGCGACTATATGGCGTGGGGCAGTATTTCACTTTTTGCCGGTTTTCTCGAGAACGAAATTCTTTGGAAACTTTGATTGTGACTTTCGAAAATGTTTCACTAAAGGCTTTTTTTGGACTGAAAATGAAGAATTTCGAAATTTCCGTTTTGACGGCAAATTCTCGATATTTACAGACAGCCGCTCTTAGCTGTTGGTTATATTTGCCCCTTTCTGTTAGAACCGACTACTTCAGACTTTAAAACGTTATTGTCCTGATTTGTTTTTTTAGTGTTGAGGTTCCAGAAGGACCGTTTATGGCCACCACCTCTAGCATTGTGTCCCTGATTGATCAATTCAACGAATTTTTCAATCGGTCATCAAACCATCAAACAGAGGAAAATGTCAAGGTTAGTTTCTTTCTTGTTATTATGGGCATTTTTCTATGAGAGGTGCAGACAGAATTTGTGATGAGGAACTATGGCAAGGTACTGCCAAGTCATCAGAGGGCCACCTTAGTCAGATCCTTTGGGCTAAGGCGTAATTTTAGAGAAGAAGATACTGTTTTTCCTTTGTTTTGCTCGTTATTTGTATATTCCAAAGACGTATATTGTTTTCGCAGTTTTTCTTCATTTATCAATTTATAGGAAAAGGCATGCATATAACTACAGCTAGCTTTTCATAGTTTCCCATAAAAAAAGCTAAAAAACTAATATGTTTCTCACTCTCTCTCTCTCTCTTTTTTTAAGTTCAGACATGATAATGAGCAACAAATGAAGAGACTCAAAAGATTCCAAACAGATGATGCCAAGAAAAAGTGGGTGCAAAGTAAAGTCAGTCGTGCTGAAGAACAAGAATTAAGGTAACTTTTTCTGCTTGCAAGTTATTAAAAAGAAATTCTCCCATCTATGGTAAAATCTGTAATAACAATAAATTATTCCAGGATTTGTACAGAGTCCTGAATTCTTGAAAAAGCAATTCTCCAGACCTGGAAAAAACCTGGATAAGAAAAGTCTGAAAAAATGGTAAAAAGTCTGGAATTTATTTTTCACAGCTACAAGAAGTGAATAATTGAGTTTTTTTCCATGGTCAATTCCCATTCAATCTTGCCAGTAGTTAAGACAATCGCAATATTATAAGAAGTTTCAGAACTCTCTTACTGAGTATGTCCGCATTGCACGGTGCATGGTTACTGTATGTTTGCAGTGCATCATGAAAAAAGCTTGATTCCTGCATTTTTTTAAGGTCTCTATTGATCACCTTTTTGTTAACCTTGAGTCTGGAAAAATAAATTTTTGTTTTGGAAAAAAGTTTGGAAAAGTCTTGAATTTTGGATCTCAAAATCGGTACGAACCCTGTTATTCTACCTTCTGTTATGGTCTTTGTTTGTGGGGTTCCAGGGTACTGACAGCAAACACAAGTAGACAAGTCAGCTAGAACTGAATTATGATTAGGACCTTATAATGTGCTTTGCAATACTTAATGAACACTTTTTATGAGAGACAGGCCAGTACATTCAGTTTTTCTCAGGGCCAGAGGGGGATACGAAATATAAGATAAAGAATAAATTTGAATCAATTGTGTCTATTTTATTTTGGGCTTGCTTACTTTATTTTCCATTAATGGACTGGAAACCTGTCAGTTGGCACTCATTAGGAACTTTTGGATTAGACTATGAGTACTTAATCAAATAGTATTTGAATTCATGTGTCCCAGACAATTGCCTGTCTCTGACCTAACATCCCAACAGAAGCAGTTGCTGTCCGTGAAAATGCAGACTGTTGTATCCATCAGTGAGAAAAGCGTGCAAGTGGTGTGGTAGCAAAACCCCGGGGGGGGGGGGGGTACTTTAGGAATTTCTGGGTGGGGATGTGCCGCTGGGACCCTGGAACCCTAATCCTATACCAGAGCTAGGTCAGCTGAATTTTGCTACCCTATACTAGAGTAAACTCCCCAAATCCCCCTATCCTAGAGTAGCTGTTTCCCCAGTCTAGATAAAATCTTCAACCAAATGATCAGTTTCCTGAAAAATGATACCCTATTCTAGAGCCAAACGCTCTGATTTATATACCCTATCCCAGAGTAAACTGCTTGAAAACCATACCCTTCACAGCGGCACATACCTATATAGCCCATATATGGCAGTACCCCCGGGGAGCAAAACCCACAGCCAAAGATCACATAAAGATTGTCCTTACAACCCTAGTAACTCCACTTCATGACTTCATTCAACCTCATTCACTTGTGATTCAGATAGTTATCTGGACGAGAATTCTTATTTGTAATTTTTGACCAGTAGGCCATTCTCATGCTGTCTTCTCCCTACAACGATTGATTTATGGGAGTTGTATAGTCAAGAGAAATCAAGAAAAATGCCTTGATGGCAGGGTAATTTCATAAATTTATTTACAATCTGTTGGTACCATAGCTTACTTCAGAATAATTTTATTGTGAAAGTTACCATTTTCGAGGGTTGTCCAATACTCACAAATAGACTCCATTGGTGTTAGTGGTGATGAGAAGGGTCTCCATTGGTACCAATGGTACGATTGGTACCAATGTTACGATTGGTCCCAATGGAAAAGGACCCTATTCCAGTGGTTCTATTGGTGACTATGTATATCATTAAGGGGACTTAGATTATTTTCTCATGTGGTGTGGCTGGGTACAGGGCAATTCCAATGGTCCATTGGTACGAATGGAAAAGCACCCTATTCCAATGGTTCTATTGGTGACTAAGCATCTCATTAAGGGGACTTAGATTATTTTCTCATGTGGTGTGGCTGGGTACAGGGTAAATTACAAAGTCATAACCAACAGCATGATATAACCATCCTTTTCGGAAACTCTTCATTGAAAACTTGTTTTGGTTTAAACACTTCCATGTAGATAATGACATTGCGCTAAGTAATTTCAGTAGTTAATTTCACAGTGAATTGAGTACAGTTGTTAAAACCTGTTGCCTCAATACCACTTTGCTAGTTTCGCGCCTTTCCGCGTTGTTTCCGGTTCTTTTAAACAAGTAAGAATTACCAAAAAAATAGTGCTTGTGTACAGGAAAGAAGACATTCATATGTCAGGTTGTTGTTTGCTCGTGAATCACATTAAACAGAACGAACACGAGAGTGACGCGTTACCTTTCAATTTTATAATGTTCGTACGATGTTTGTTATACTTGCAGCACCTTGAGATATTATTAGCACTAGATATATACGTCGCCCTCGCTTTGTAACTATTAGCGCGTTTCCACTTTGTGTGAAAGCGAACTTGTTTTGCGTCGTTGGCCTATAGAACGAGGAATATTCATAATAATTATTAGCGCGTTTTTTCTTGGTGTAAAAGGCAACTTGTTTTGCGTGGTTGGCTTATAGAACGAGGAATATTCATAATAATTATTAGCGCGTTTCTACTTGGTGTAAAAGCGAACTTGTTTTGCACCAATAGAACCATTGGAATGACATCATTTTCCATTGGTACCAATCGTACCATTGGTACCAATGGACCATTGGAATTGCCCTGTACCCAGCCAGGTCACATGGGAAAATAATCAAATTCCCTGAGATGCATATTCACCAACAGAACCACTGGAATGACACCATTTTCTATTGGTACCATTGGTACCAATGGACCATCAGTTTGACGAATCGTATCCGTTTGTGTATATTGGACATGTGTGTCAAATGCAACCAAATTTCCCCACCCCAGGCTGCACATTGCTGTCAATCTCAAGGCAGAACCCAAGAAAGGCACAATAAAAATATCTCCAAATAAAACCCTGCAATCTTTTATAAACGTTGCTGCATCACCAAAGATACATGTTCCTGTTACAGCTGCAATTATACGTTTTAACCATAACCCGTATTACACTGTTTAGAATACATAAACCTTTAGGAGAAAGTCCACATTTTGTAAGTTTAAATATACCCTTCTTAGTAAAGGGTACAAAGAAAGTCAGTTTTATAAGTTTACAGTGACTGTAGCAAATGAGCCATACACTAATCAATTGTACTTGCAAAAATCGACTTGGTTTCTCTTTACTTCCGTTTACTTTGATACCACAGTATTTTAAGAGGTTCAATTGATCAAAAAGACGCTAAAACAAAGGAAATTTGAAGACAGGCAGACACTCAGCCTTCGCTTGTTCTCATCGGCCTCCATGACTTCCTGATCTTTTCAAACCGTACGGCGCATGCGTGAAGCGTGGAAGCGGGAAACATATGTTCGGTCTCAGTCTTTTTCGTTTGAGTCAGCAGTCAAATATCTCCACGTCGGGCGAAGAAAGATTCAAATATCCCCTCCCCTGGGAGAACAAGATCAGTCAAATGCCCTACCCCAGGGACAACAAAGACAATCAAATCCCCACCCCATGCCCCTGCCTCCCCCCTGCCGGCTTTACATTGATAGGAGCGTAAAGACCTAGGTCATATAACTTCCAATACGACTAAGTGCAGGAGTCGTGTGATACCCCAGCGTCGCATATTTTTTACCACTGACATCGAAGCTTCTTGAATCAAATGACGTGTCCGATTAAAAAAACTTTGTGCTCCACTTGCATCGAAGGTTCGCATTTCTTCTCGAACCTAACGCCTTATGGACTTGGTGCTCTCCAAATCATTCCGGTGAGACGACATCTTGTGATAGATGGAAGAAAGGTCACGTCTTTCAAAAGGTAGAGCAGGCAGGAGCCTGGGATCCAATGATGCGTAAAGAGGGTGCGCATAAAATGTTGAATGAATTTACAGTGTTGAATGAAAATTTTGACCTTGAATGTGAATGAATATGTGTCGCGAATGTAAATGAATGTATTCGTAAATATGTGTTGCGAATGTAAATGAATATATTCGTTACAAAGAAATATATCGTTAAATGTGAATACAATGAGGTTGTGGAATGTGAATGAATATCATCGTGAACAAAAATGAAATCGTTAAATGTGAATGAACATTGAATTTGTCAATTTTGCACCATTTCGCCAACCATAGTCGGGTATGAATTGAACGAGACTTAATGCGTTTCATGGCGACGCCTACACCTCGTTTTTGAGTTAATTATAATCAAAAGCACATCGAATTTGCAGAAATAAATTTTTGGTTGATAGCGTTCGTTGCTAAGACGGAGTCATTTGGCATTTCTATACTGAGCCAACCGCAAAAGTCTGTACAGCTTTCCGCAAACAAAGCGCTTCTTAAATAGTATCTAGGTTGAGATGTCGTCTCTCACAGATAAGGAAGTGCATCGATACATAGAAGAAATAGTAAAGGGTGTTAAAGGTATACAGAACAGACTGGAAAACGATGTACGTGCTATGTGCAAAATACTGTCGCTACTACTAGAGGACTATAAAAAAAGAAATGGAAATGAAGGAGACATATCTCAGAGACTAACAGGACGTTTTAAAGACATCTATAAAAGCCTAGAATTACATCTAAAATTCCACCTCGGGGCTGCCGTGGTAATAACTGAGCTCAATACACTAGGCCAGAAGATTGGAATGACGCCCGAAGAACGGGACGCACTTCCAGGGATAGAATGTGCCATTGACCCTGGAAGCAAAATATTGGAAATTGTAAGTATCATTCTACAAAGTCTTTCATTTTCTTTCTCTATAAAATTAGGAAAATATTGAACATTCAGTGATCGAGCTGACAACTCTTTGGTGATCAGAACCGGGCTCTCTTACACAGGAAAAAATAACGGATTCCCGTTTTTGGATATTTTAGGGTATTTGAAGAATACCCACAAAAATCCCAAATTTGGAAGAGTGAGACAAGTCCCAATCAGGGAACTTGGTTGGGAATTCCCTGGTTGGGACTTGTCTCACTTTGCCAAATTTGGGATTTTTATGGGTATTTTTTAAATATCCTAAAATATCCAAAAATGGGAATCCCTTATTTTTTCCTGTGTTACTTCTCGATGCGATTGTTCTTTAGATGCAAGTGTTAGGTACCTAAGAGGGTTTTGAAGGTAGCTGTGACCAAGTTCTGTAGCGTAGGGTGTGAATGCTACAATTTGAGTACGGCGCGTACTAAACTGTTTCTCCTCACGAGATAAATGACTTGAAATATCGCGCAAACGCTAAAGTTGGAAAGACGTTTCTCCAGGTAGTTTTACACTTCACTTATCACTTTAATAAATCATGCTAGACAAGTAACAATTGGCATCCGATGAATTTCTGTTTTAGATTCGTGGTATCGTAATCGAAACTCAGTTTGCCTCATTGTTGTAATAGTTTGTAAGGCAATACTAAAAGCCAAATGAAACCACGCAAATTCCTCACTTATAATTGTCAAATGCTTAATGTTTAGTTATGGAAACGTTTCAACATTTCGGGGCAACAGTGTAATTTAGGATTGGAAATTTTTTCGCATTACCTTGGTTCAGTACACGGTCTTGAATTATAGACAAAAACGGAAACAACAGACTGCTCTTGGCCAAAAGAGAGTAACAATGGCGCCAATATACATACTTTAAAAGTTGGGAGCTTTTACAAGGATTTGGGATCATTTGCTTCGTGGTTGTAAAGATCAAAACTGGTAATCAAAATCAAACACCAGGCCGTTAACGCAAATCTGAAGTCTAACAGGAACTAGAAGACCCTGAAGACGAGGAAAATGCAAGTGTTAAGGTAGACGGATTATACAAATACCGCATATCTAAAAATGCCCACCACTACGAAAACGTGTTCTATTTGACAAAAAGTGGAAATCGAAGAAATTAAATTACAGAAAAAGGGCTATTATTTGCGAAAAGGCAAAGTACTCAGTGTGCTTTAAGGTGTTTCGATACAGTTTTTCGGAGGCCATACCGATATTTTTCAATCGCCTGAAAAGGGATTTTATCCTTGTCCTATCGCAATAAAATTTTCACCAGTGATTGATTACGGATTGAAGTTTGTTAAACGTGTTTTTAACTAAAATCAGTATTACTATGACAACAATAAGCAAAAAAATTGGAAATTGACAAAAGCCGAATTTTGCACAATCTAGACCTGCTACTAAAAATCCAACAATAGGAACTTAAAGTTTGGTGTTTAGCAAATAACCTCCGTGAGAAGTAAAAAATTCTGTATGTTTGAATTCAAATAAAACGTAAATATATTTCAAACCTCGTATTTTCAATAGCCGTGATAAATTATTTAATAAAAAAGTTCTAAATAACTGAAGTTAATCTTAAGTAGCGTTGGAATGCTGCTTGATATCATAGTTCGATGCTAGGAAAGTTTGGTGTATTTTCGTTCTTGCGATGTTGAAAACCATCCTGCTTTCTCACCACCTGTCTAAGCGCAACTTTATTCTAAATCTTGACTTTCAGGGCTTTTTTGTGTATCCCTGAAACTACTCGAACCAATTTTTTTAAAATTAAATCCCATATTCTTTATAATGTATGTAATAATGTCTGAAACTTTCATTAAGATTGATTCACTTTAACACCTTGAAATTTCAAGACGAACCTAGCCTACAAACCGGCCAATATCTGCGTTACAATATTCACTATTTTGACATTATGCTAATGTTTGTTAATTAATGCGCACGGTACATACCTCCACGACTAGTACATTTCAGTATGACAAAATATTTGGTAAAAAATTAAGCCGCATATTTTTCCTCTTTCGTTTGGTGTTTTCTGTCACACTGAAATGTACTAGTCATGGAGGCATGTACCGTGTGCATTAATTAGGAAACATTAGCATAATGTCAAAACAGTGAATATTGTAACGCAGGAATACGCAGAAATGAAGCAGCAACAATAAAGACTGTAATAAAGAAACCACCGAGACTTGGGTGTGACTGAGGAGATCTTGTGGAATTAAGCTTCGTGAAGCACAATGTTTTGCAACGACGTGTTAGTAAACAGGCGTTACATGTTTGGAAAAACTAGTGGAATGAAATCATAACATAATTTTTGACTAACTATCGCGTTGAGATTGCATTTTTATTTATCAGGGGCACCCAACGAGAATATAGTTCAAAACCACTTAAACATAGCATTGTTAAACGTATTTTAGTATTTAACCGGTAGATATAGGCATATTTTTATCCCTTAAAAATTTTTCATCTGTTCGGATTTCCTAGCTGAAAGTCTCGTGATCCGAAAATTATAGGGATCAAAACTTACCTTTTCGAAAATTTCAGCCCGAAAAAAGGCTCCCGAAAATTCTAGTTACCTTTTTAAGGTAAAAATCTGTTAAAAATGGGCAATTATACCATTTTTTAGATGTTCGAAAATCCTAGGAGAGGCTAGTCTGCTACACAGCCGTTTTTAGTGTCGTCACGCAACGCTCCTCCCCACTCACGGCTGCTGAAAATCGAACCACATTCCTTTCCCTTTGTGTTTGTGGTCTAACGAACAAACCAATCATGTTTAAGAAACTTGACAATACGTGAGCCGCAGGGCGCTAGGAGAGAATACGCTTCTCAGTTTTCGACAAATCAATCAATCGTCGCTGAATTTTGATGGGCTCTGTGTCTGCAAGCAACGAAAAGGTTATTTGCAGAAAAGTTTGTTTGAAAGGGACTGTGTCACGATAGTGCGCATGTGTGAGCTGTGACAGTAGCTGATTGTCTTTGAACCAATCGGAAGCGAGTAAGATGCACGCGACGAAATTTACATAATTTATGATTCATTGTTCGCGAAGAGGGAGTCTTCCGGACGTTTATGTTCGATTGTATATATCCCCATAATTCATATTTATTCTCTGGTATTCCTCACATAAGTGTTGCAGATGATAAGAATAAGATTAACAGCCCTGTCCTGCTTTGAAACAAACATTTACCTACGTGTATTTTTCCGTACCCACCCTAGAAAACCAGTCTCCGATCCGCAAGCAAAAATAATTTGTAAACAAACCTTACTGATCTCTCTGTTTACCCTATATAAACTTTGAAATACCTGCAAATAGCTCCTGACCGGTGATCAAAACACACAGTATAGGATGAGGCAAACGTTTTGCTTAAAATGCCAGCTAAATGCGCGCTATAATAAAATAAACCATGCCATGCGGTCGGCTAGCGCGATGAACACTCTGCGTGAACACTTGATACCGGCTGAAAATCGTAGCAGTGTTTGAAAGCAATTCTTAGTGCTTCATCATAAAACGCTTTCATTGTAATAGTAGCCACATAACGTATAAGTATAAAGATTATTCTTAAAGAACAATGCAAAAAGAGGCATAAACAGGATCCCATAACTATGGCATAAATTTCAATTGCTTATTAGCAAATAAAAAAATTCCTTCCGAGTCGTTGCGTCGGGCGTTCCGCGAAACAAACGTTATCGATTCAACACATAAAGAAACCAGATGTTAAAAGGAACATTCAGGCAACAATTTATTTTCAAAAGATCAATTCTTAAACATTTACGCTCATACAGAAAAGATACAAGGAACATTCCCAGTGAACATCAGTAAAGATCGCGCGGCCTGCTGTTGTCAGTACTTTCTGCTATACAGCTACGGATCGGAGTCATAAATCGAATGCCTGTTTAAACGTTTCATGTTCGATAGATTGTTTCTTCAAACCTCACACGACTTCCTGTACAACAAAAGATTGCTGGGTTTTCTCCTTCTGATTCCAGGCACTCGATAAATAAAATTGTTGCAGAAAATCGGAAGTCATGTAGCAGATCAGCTTCACTCGCCGCTGCGCCCCATTAGTAGTCCAAGGCTGTATCGAGGAAACGCTTTTTAACTCTCTTTACATATTTATCGTTTAAAAAATATCCTTCAAAGGTAGATCGTTGACTGAAGAACCTTAATAGACAGAAATGAAAGCCAGATGACCACATTTGATCCGTTTGTAGGAACACTGACAACAACGAACTTGGCTTCGTACGGTTCTCCTCAATGACTTTGAATTTTCTCGACAATACTTGCACAAAAATAGAAAATATGGCGTTTAAAACTTCCCAAATGAACCAAATAGCTCTTGAATACTGATATTATGGCTTTCTCGGGCGTCTCAGGGTCGATGGAAGAGGATTTCTTCACAAAACGCCAATCTTGACAAACTGTTCGCCGGAACAGAAATCAAGTTGCCGCACATGCGCAGAAGCGTGTCACAGTCCCTTTAAGCGGTTAACAAAATTCCAAGTGAAAAAGAAAAAGGGTTTGCTAGGCCTACAAGACTCTTACCAGGATCGGTTGGTTTTTGGAACGTGCACATGTATGACGAATTTCATGTGCCGGATGTGCTCATTGTGTTGTTGTACATGTGAAGACTCTGAATATTAAACTCTCAGGGGTACTGAGTCAAACAAAAGCAATCTTACAAATTTTCGATAAGCGATTTTCCGAAACTATACCCGGCAACTTTATAAGCGCATCCATGTTGTGCATCATATTTGCTCGACTTGCTCGCTGTTGCTGCTTATCTCAAAAATTTTGAAAGGACTCGACTACGACAACACTACTCTAGTTGATTGCTTGTTTTCAAGCGACGATTTTGATTGTTCTGTCATTCACACATGGGGCAACGATAAAAGCAAAGCTGTGATTGGAGGAGTCACCATACCGCAAACGTGGCGCAAACACCTTCTAGAAAATGGGAGCTAAATTCTAATTGGCTAATCGTGGGAAAGGAATGTGGTTCGATTTTCAGCAGCCGTTAGTGGGGAGGAACGTTGCGTGACGACACTAAAAACGGCTGTGTAGCAGCCTAAGGAGAGTCGGGCAAGCAAGAGATTTTACAACAAATGTTCCGAAAATTCTAGATCTCAAATCGTCTGCCGAACAGATATTTTCGGAAAATTGACGTTGGGTGCCCCTGATTTATATCTCTCGAACGTTTGAGTCTCGAACGCGAGCAAATATTGCTGGACTTGGAACAATGGGCCATTTGCACGAGGGCGTCATTTTACTACGACGACCGGAATCCTTTTTTCCTTTCATATTTAAATTTTGTAATCCCAGTGAGGTTCGCAGCAGTGAAATAATGTCATCGTACAAATGGCCTGTTGACCTCTGACACGAGTTTCACATTAGAAAAGCTGTTTTTAAAGCGAGCGGAACGAGCTTTTCGGGTCGCGAGTTGGCAAAAATCACGATAAGTCTTCGCGCCGAAATTTTAAGTCTAAAATATTACTTGTAACAAATCTCCGTCGGCGGTGCGGTCCGAAAGGAAATCTTGTCGAGTCATTATGACAGTTCTATTGTCTTTTGAAGAAAAAACAGATTATGCTCGCGCGTGCACATGATCGGGACACTGTCCCTTTAATACTTTTGAACAAGAACAGTACACTCATTGATAAAAAATAAAGACCTTCTTTTATATTTTTATTATTCCAGCTAAGTGACATGACAGAATTTTTTCCTGATGCTCCAAACGGCAGCGAAAGTCATGCCAACGCTGTGGTGACTGTGGCAAAAGAGTTGTTTAGTAAGCTTGGAACAAAGAACACGTTCAAACCTAAGGTCTTGACCCTGGTGTCCCACAATGGCAAATGGTTTGTTGGATCATCAGTGGCAGTGAGCCATTTCCTAAGGCCTCTCTGTTTATACAATCGAATTTGTGATTTCAAACAGAGCCTTAAGAGAGCAGTTATATACTATCAGCCTCTAGAAACTGATGATAATGCCCACTGGAATTCTTCATCATTTTGGTTTAAGCCGATGGGATATACAGCAGAAAAGCCTCCTTGTCAAAACTGCACGTTCATGTTTCAAAACCTATCAGGTTTCCTAAGTGGGACAGGTCATTTGGCAAAGGAAGGTGTTGGGGAAACATTTTTGGCGGCATGTGGCGAATATCTTCCTACAAACCAGTGTCTGCCAAATGATGCAGGATCTGATGACGAAGTGGTAAATGTTGCCCTTACAAAATTCAAGGATAAATGTAAATTATATTATCAAAGCTTTCATGAAATTGTTTCAGGTTGCCGCTTGGCTTATATCTCTAATGAAAGTGAAGAGGATGAAAGTCGTAAAGTCGAAAATCTGAAAAATGCGTATCAAACGTATGTAAAAGATAGAATACACATATTTGGACTAAGACCCGAATGTAATGGTAGTTTGAGACCATAATGCATGACTTGTAAATTTGCCTCTTTAGGTGAAAAAAAAGTTTCATCGAGTTTTGTAACGAACTGAAATAGGTCGCCAAGGTCGACTTGAAATTGGTACTGAGCTTATATCGACTTCCTCCAAGAAGCAATGAGAGAGAGGATATTTCTGAAAGATGTTTTACTCCGTTTGAAATGTAACAGAGAGGGTTCTTTTAGAGTTGGCCGGGATTTGTGAATTTCACTAAAGGTTTTTTCAGAGGTTGTAATTTAAATACCCTGCGAGCAGAGTCTTCTTCGATCTTCCTAGAAAATATCGGAAAAGGAATCCCGATGTTTTCTACGAAGATCGAAGGAGACTCTGCTCGCAGGGTATAATTTAAACGGAAGTTTAATTCCTGTGACGTCCAAAAATTTTACTTAAGCCCTGAAATCAAGCCCAGAAAGCAAAAAATGTAGAATATTTGTAATGGCAACTGTTGAATTGTCCTCTTGCCAATACTGTATTCTAGTTTGCGGACCTCTTTGGAACCCTACTTTCGATTAATTCAAGCGTTTAATTGATCTAAAAATGACTTTGGTGAAATTCACATATCCCAAGGGATGGGGACTGGGTGTTACCCTCTCTATCCCATTATTCTCTATTGGTGCTACCTCCTTATCACCTTATAAGGACTTAAAATATCTTTGCCATCATCGTCCCCCAGTCTATAGGCGCACTTTCAAAGCTGCTAGAGTGGCATGTGACAGAAGGCTTTTGTTATAAGAATGTCTGAGCCTGTGAAAACATGAGTAGCCCCAAGGGCAGAAGACTGAACTACTATGATTTTTACCCTTCGGTTCAGATTTTCATATAATAATGATAACGATCAAGTTGATGAAGACAAGGGCTCAAGTTTATTTTTTAAAGTAGCTGCAAACTGATCTCCCAGCAAGGAACATCCTCCCTTCTTGTACATAGGCCCTACTTTGACCCATAGTGATGATGGCATGGAAAGAAAACGTCACGTGATAGATCATCCTAGATACTTTGTTTATGTAGGGGTTAGAAGGAATCTTTTAGAGCTTTCTCCAAAATTTTAGTTTCTTTTTAACTCATTAGATGAAATCATAGACTACAGTCGCCATTTTTTATAATATATTAAGCTTATACAATAAGATATTAAGATATTAAGCTTATATTATGAACTTATATATCCTTTTTTGACCTATGGAATAATTATCTGGGGAAATACCTACAAGACCACTCTTCAACCAATTTTCATTTTACAAAAAAGAGCAATGCGATTAATTACCTTTTCTAGATTCGATGAGCACTCTAGTCCTTTGTTTAAATCTCTTGAAATTATAAAATTCCTGGACCTAGTAACTTTTCATTTAGCAATCTTTATGTATAAATATCATAATCAATTATTGTTGCGCACTCGTCATGGAGTTGTTATTGTACCATATAATCTTAGCTCTGGCCAAGAAACGTCTACGCCCTTACATTAGAACCAAAAGAGCGAATGATTTTATTACTTTTAAATTTTTAGATTAGTTGCATTACATTTTATATATATTATAGTATCATTATTGTTAATTTTATCACTTGACAATTCGGTCTTTACTGCAAAGAGTGGAATAAACGATGTTTGTTTGTTTGTTTGTTTGTTATGATGTTTCTTGATTTCAGACCCCATTCGCATACGACTCGGTAGCGAGTAGGCCTTTCCCGATTGTGCTCGTAAAATGCTGGAAAGTTGCTCACTGAAATGCCAAAAAGTTGCTACCTAAATTTCAAAAGTTGCCACCTAAATTTGTGATATTATTATTTAACATTTTCCTTCTTCACAACAATTAATAATTAATTAAGTTTTCTATGAAATCGTTGACTTTTTCGTGCTTGATATGTGCTCTAAACCTATATTTTGCTCAAAAGTTTCTTAGAAAGGCAAAATTTGCGCGAGGTTGGTAGAACCGGAACAAGAGCCATAATAGGACAGAGAGGGAGTCTAAGGGCGTTGGCCGGAATATCTTAATTTCAAAAAGTTATTTTTCGAACTATGCGGACCACGCAGAAACAGTTTCCGGTAAACTTGTTGACTTCCGGAAGACTCGCTTTCACGATTGAGCGCGCCAAAGTGAGGAGGAGTCAGCAAATGAAAAAATGGCGGCCTAAGTGGAAAGACTTTGGGTTGATTGCTACTTCAACGAAGAACCTACCATAGAAACTGGTTAAAACTGCTACACAAACGGGTCCTTTACAAACAATCGAAGAAATACAGTTATTATTATTATTATTATTATATTAAAGCGACCGCGTGACCATCGTTTTTGTTGGAACAGCTGGAAAGAGGACAAGTAGTATTGCGGCCCACATGAGCGTTGAACACAATACCCGCGGGTCCTACAAAGACGACCGTACAGGCGACCATGTGGACGTATTTTCTCTTGAAAGAGGAAGAGAAAAAAACCTATAAAGGTTTCTTGTATTTTTCTGAAGGGCATGACCAGGAATCTTGGGAACACACCTTTTCCTGCTTGACTTATATTTTGTTTCGCACTTCATGATCACATTAGACAATTAACAATTATTCTTTATTGAACACGGGATGAATAGAAGCTGAATATTCTCTACGAGGTAAATACTCCTTAAGGTGGCTCGACTGGATTTTTTTGGGGGGATACCTCCCACGTTTGAGCTTTAGCTACGTCGGCATGAGTAAAGATATGGGGAAAAGGTTACCACAACTGTTTTATATAATGATGAAAATTTCTTATGATCTGGGTTTTATTGCAATCGGAGTCGCCATGGCAACGTAATGACGCCAATACGCTTTTTATTTATCTTTGTGTCTCTCTGTACCAGGAGTTTTTTGAAGAAATCGCTCAAGGGAGTATGTACCTGCCATAATTGCCTCCATTATGGGAAAGTTTCAACAAATTCTATGAGAGCGTTTTCGAAATATTTTGACACGCAGTTTTAACAATCATAAAAACAGTGAAACAGCATGCTATCCACACAATTCGCTAATATTTTAAGAAACTGATAACCTTTGGAAACGCGGCTTCATCCCATAGTGGTTTGATTCCATTGAAAACTGCATACAAAAAAAGAAGGGAATTTCTCTGAGCGATCGCGAGTCAGAAGAATTTTATTGACTTGCATTCAGCTGCTTTTGTTACAGGTTTTGGACGCAATTTGGTCCATGCGTACAAATTTCGCATTTTTCAAAAAACCGCTCGATAAATTTTTTTATAAATTCGACAATCTGGAGATCAATTGTCAATAAATATTCCCTGCAAGTTTCAAGAACATTGAAAACAGGAAAGGCTTTTAAATAGGGCCTCAAATATAACCAATTTTTTCCCCCGATTTTGTGTTTACAAGTGAGCGTCCTCTTTATTCGCTGGCATTGTTTTAAAGTTTCATATGCACGTGCACAACTAGCAAAAGATACAAATTTGCATCAAAAAGAACTCTCGATTACTTTCCGAAGAAATATCCGGAATATGCTAATAATTGGCTTGTGTCACCGATAACAGTGAGAGCCGAAACGATGAACGTCACCGCTCATCGTGTAGGATGCAATACTTAATTATCTTACTCGGGTTATAACATCACAGAAACTCTTACAAAGAATTGCTCTGACGTTATAATGTATCACTAATCTCTTTACCCGGTAATTAGCATATTCTGGAGATATAACCGAGGGTCCTTTTTGATGCAAATTTTATCTTTTTGCTAAATGTGCACGTGTATATGAAACTTGAAAACAATGCCAGTGAATAATGAGGCCGCTCACTTGTAAACACAAAATCTGGGGGGAAAATTGGTTATATTTGAGGCGCTATTTAAAAGCTTTCCCTGTTTTCCATGTTCTTGAAACTTGCAGGGAATATTTATTAATAATTGATCTCTAGATTGTCGAATTTATAAAAAATTTATCGAGCGGTTTTTTGAAAAATGCGAAATTTGTAGGCATGGACTAAATTACGTCCAAAAACTATAACAAAAGCAGCTGAATGCAAGTCAATAAAATTCTTCTTACTCGCGATCGCTCAGAGCAATTCCCTTCTTTTTTTGTATGCAGTTTTTACTGGAAACAAACCACTATGGGATGAAGCCGCGTTTCCAAAGCTTATCAGTTTCTTAAAATATTAGCGAATTGTATGGATAGCATGCTATTTCACTGTTTTTATGATTGTTAAAACTGCGTGTCAAAATATTTCGAAAACGCTCTCATAGAATTCGTTGAAACTTTGCCATAATGGAGGCAATTATGGCAGGTACACACTCCCTTGAGCGATTTCTTCAAAAAAACTCCTGGTACAGAGAAACACAAAGATAAATAAAAAGCGTAATGGCGTCATTACGTTGGCATGGCGACTCCGATTGCAATAAAACTCAGATCATAAAAAATGTTCATCATTATATAATACAGTTGTGGTAACCTTTTTCCCATATCTTTACTCATGCCGACGTAGTTAATGCTCAAACGTGGGAGGTATCTCCCCAAAAAAATCCAGTCGAGCCACCTTAATCAGTAAGGAAACCATTTATGTTCAAAATTTGATTAACGGATCAAATCATGCGGGGAAATCGGTAAACAGTACATGCGCTAAAGTTTGATCTTTACAGAATTTTCAAAAATTGCAAATGAAATCGCAGTTTAATATCCTTTGGCAAACAATAGCCTAATGGTTTATACGGAACCGCCAGAAGTTTAAATTGTACTTCCAGGCCTGAAAAAAAAACTACAGCTTTGTTTTCAACTGTCGACTGGCCAAGTTAGGGAAAAGGTTGTTTTTGCAGCTTGTGTTGTTTTTCGTAAGTGTTGACAATGGTTGCCCGGTTGCTCGAGGTAAGGCACTGTTTTTCTGTAGTTTTCTCTGTCCTATTCAATTGAAATCTAGAGTTTTCGTAAAGATTTGCTTTGATTTTTTTGTCATAAGTTGAATTTGATTTCTGGGAAACATTCGCCTGTAAAGGAAATGTTGAGTTTACAAAACCACCTTGACTTCTACTCGATTAAACTG